AGCCCAATACAGCTCCAGCGCACCACTTGCAGCCCGGGCAAACTCTAGGTCCCACCAGCCCGGGCAAGCCCAAGGGCAGATTTTTCCTGGGCTTCAGCCCGAGGGCGCTGACGTCAGCGCTGGTGTTATGATGACGTCAGCGAGCAAAAAAAAATTCTAAAAAATTATAAAAAATTCAATTTTTTTATAAAAAAATACCAAAAAATTATGGATATTTTCCCTATAAATACATAACAATTTTATTCACTTTCCCTATAAATACATAATTTTATATTTTGTTGCATATATATATATTTTTCTTGCCCTTGACTTGCCTTAGACTTTGCCCTCATAGGTGGAACCACAAATGCAAAAGCTGACACTATTCACGTGAATAGTTGCAGCCCTTGCTTGCCCTTGCCTTAGACTTAGCCCTTGTGGATGGAGATGCTCTTACTTGGCCCTTAAGATCGAAACTCTAGGGTTTCTTTTCTCCAAATGTAACCCAAGAAAAAAAAAGTAAACAGATAATTGGGCTAAGTTGACACAAGTGATAAGACCCTCTTCACTTAAAATTCAGGCCTTCCGAAATGGGCTTGTAAACAAACCCATAAAAATAAACCAACCCAGAAAAGAAACCAAAAAAGTTGTGTGGGGTCAGGTTCCAAGCTGGCGGCTGAGTAGGAAATAGGAACCTTTCAATGTGACGCAAACTGTCCACCCATATATATATAAGGCACAACAAAGTCCTCTCCTTCAACTTCTCTCCCTCGTTTAAGATTCCATTTTTACGTTAATTAGACCCAGTTGAAAATTTCTACGCTTTCTGAAACTTCCTCTTCATCGATCAACCCAGTCATGATCCCTGAATAGTAATCTCTCTCTCTCTCTCTCATGAACAATTGCATGCATGTCTACATGTTATCACCTTTTTTGTCATAGCTTAGTTTCTGTGTGATTGTTTTATGGCTGTTGATAATGTTAACCCTGTTCAATTTGATTGGATTTGGATTTTGGTCAAACCCAGAAATTTTAATTTTTGTTTTTGTTTTTATTGAAGGGTTATTTTCAACTTTTGGGTATGTGGGATGGCTTTTGATTTGGCCATTTGATTAGAGATTGTTTGTTTAGTAGTATCTTAAAAAACTGGAAGAAAGTTCTTACGAAATTCAATTTTGTGGATCCTTTTTTTTCGGGATCACATTTCATTTCAAGAAGCTATCTGCAATTTTGATTCTAGTGAATACAAAAGCTGTAAAAACAATGTATGAGATCCATGGACTCTGGTAAATAAGATGAATATGTTAGTCATACTTTTGAAATGATGATTCTTTCTGCTGTGGCTTGGTGTTTTCTTAGGCACCTATAATCTCGTTGAGTTATTTGGATGATATGCTGCCACGGAATTCATATCTTTGCTGCCTGTATAATTTTGTCTCAATTTGAAGAAACATTAATTAGATATGCAGGGCATAGTTGTTGACATATTCTGACAGAGTAGGTGTTTTTGCTAATAAGATTTGATGATATGTTAATGTTTTATTTTAGTTATTTCCCTTAGTTTACCGCACCGGAGCATAAAGTTTGAGGTTCTAATTAGTTATTTTCCTCCATTTTGCAGTGACTATCTTTTCAAACTTTTGCTCATTGGAGATTCCGGTGTGGGCAAGTCATGCCTTCTACTGAGATTTGCGGTAAAAGTTCAACAATGTTATATATAGGATGATGGTTTTCTTTTTGCCACGCTTCTCTTATACACACACATTAAATTCTTATACCTTCTCCCGCAGTCATCTCTTTGTATTCGTCCTAAATTTTAATCATAATTATTGTGTAACACGCGATACATAAATGTATGCTCGTGATCTGAGTTGGTTGAGCCAAATGCTGATGTCTGATTTTCTTTGATCTTTTGTTGACAATTCCACTCTCACCTTGTGTAGGATGATTCTTACATTGACAGCTACATAAGTACCATTGGTGTTGACTTTGTAAGTACAGTGGCATAATATAGCACTTCTGATGTTTGGTTATTTTCATGTCATGGCAGTGATTTCATCTCTTTGTTTCCTCTATTTAGAAAATTCGAACAGTGGAGCAGGATGGGAAAGTTGTCAAACTTCAAATAGTAAGTATATTTTTTATTAAGGCTAGATTGGAATCGAAGTTCCTTAGCTGAAAAAATATGAAATCTCCATTTCTTCTGAATAGTGGGACACTGCTGGTCAAGAACGTTTCAGAACGATTACAAGCAGCTACTACCGTGGTGCCCATGGCATCATCGTAAGTATTAATTCACCTCTTTGTAATGTAGATTTTTAGTCCTGCAAGCTTTTCATAGGATGATCTTCATGAATGTGGTTTTTGAAATTATTTGCTAGCTTGTCTATGATGTGACGGACCAAGAAAGCTTCAACAATGTCAAGACCTGGCTGCAAGAAATTGATAAATTTGCTGTTGGAAATGTGAACAAGCTCTTGGTTGGAAACAAGAGTGACTTAGCTGACAAGAAAGTGGTCTCCTCTGAAGCTAGCAAGGTATCTTAGCTGCTAATTAATCTTATTTTGTTATCATGTCGTGATGAGTTAAATAAGCATGCAACATTGATCAACTTCACGTATTCAAACTTGATGTTGTTCACATTCTTCTTACCCCAAAACCCCGCTGTTTTTAAAAGGCATTTGCAGATGAGCTAGGAATTCCATTCTTGGAAACAAGTGCCAAAAATTCGACTAATGTAGAGCAGGCATTCATGACTATGGTTGCAGAGATAAAGAACAGGTGAGTTCATCTCCATGTTACTTTTTTCATATTTCTGATTGATAAGGGCATTTCAGATCAAGAGTTTAAGTAAGATAAATCTGTGATCTGTAGTTGTACTAGAACAACTGCAATGGTAAAACATCAGTATTTTTATACAGCGTCGGTAAATATTTTTTTCTTTGGGTTGCAGGATAGCTACCCAACCAATGAGTGCCAACAAACCATCCACTGTGCATATGCGTGGACAGCCAGTCGTCCAAAAGACCACCTGCTGCTCATCTTGATTTATCAGCGAAGATAAGATGAATGTGTTCTTGATGGTGGTGGGAAGCTTGCAGTATCATGTGGTTTTGCATTGGACCCTTATTTGACTGCAAGCCTCCTTATAATATGTACAGCAGATTGTCATGATACTTGGCTCCCCATTCATTCGTTGGTTTAGAAAGTCCAAAAATTATTTGAATAATATAGTCAACGAATCTTTAACAATTGTATGTCATATTATCACAGTTCATTTTTAAGTTTATCTATATTTGATTTGATTTGATCAGCTACATTTTCATCATTCAAAACTGAACTGGTTTGTTTGGACATGGTGATTTGTTGTTCTGAGAACCTCTAATGGCCCCCGGTCAAGAGTTTTTGCTGTTGGTCATATGCAAAATTACCATATGAAAATTAACGGAGTATTTTGATTGGTTATTGATTAGTTGGTTGTTATGGTCCATGTAGAAATTTTGCTAAATGATTGGTTGAAAAAAAAAATTTCATATCCAGGAATCTTTTGCAAAACAAACTAAATAAAATCCCCAAAATCCGAATACATCTTGAGTTTTCAAGGACGATCCAATCAAATCCAAAATCATGAAAAGAACACTGGTGTATCAGCCCCCTGTAACTCACTTCCTGCCATAGACTCTAACAGCTTGCCTGTTCCTCTTCTTGACACCAGACTTGGCAACCTTGAGGCTCTTGTGAACAACACTCAACCTTGCAAGGGCTGCTTTTTTCAGATCTGGCCTGTAGTAGTTATCTGCCACCTGCAATGAGGAATACAAAATGAATAACAGAGAAACAACAAAAGGGAAAACCTAGATGAGGCAAATATAGATTCATGCAATCAATACAATACAAATACATTATCATCCTTGAAGGATACCAACATATGAGGGACCAACAATAAAAAAAATTAAACCCTAAAAACACAATGCGTGCAAGAGTAACAAGAACATTTCATCGAAGAAACCATTATAAATAGTGTATCTTACATGTTAAGGCTCATCACTGCAACATAAACCTACCAAGTATTTTCTTTAAAAAAAAAATAATTCAGATCCTTGAGATAAACCAATTTCAGATTTTGACCAGAAAAATAGTGAAGGTTACCTACATATAAGAGATTAACAAGGAGAACCCAATCTAAAGAAGACAATGGATGCTCAGAAGCCAAGCGTAACAAGAGTATTTCACTGAAGAAACCATTACACAAATGATCCTTCTTACATGTTAAAGGCTCATCACTGCAGCACAAACCTACAGACTTCTTAGTAAGATAATCATTCAGATCCTTGAAAAAGCATGTAGCTTACCTACATATAACAGATTAACAAAGAGAACCTAATCTAATAAAAAAAGACTATTCCTACTCCACTATACTGAGGGATATGGCTGCTGCAGTGAGTTGAAGTGTTTTTTTGCATCTTGTTCTCTTTGGGTCTTTCTGGTGTAGCAGTCTCTGTGTAGTTTAGCTGGTGTCTTTGTTTTTTTAATCTGTTTTTTCTGTTGTTGTTCGTTTGGCTTGTGGATGCCTCATCCACTTGTGTGTTCCTTTTCGTTTCTTGCAATAAATTTCGTTTCTATTAAAAAAAACAAAGAGAACCTAATCTAATAAATAAATAAAAAGACAATGCACGCTCAGAAACTAAGTGCAACAAGAGTATTTCACTGAAGAAACCACTACAAAAATGATCCTTTAACTGCAGGTACAAACCTACAAGTATCTTCTTAGAAAAGTAATCATCCAGATTCTTGAGATAAACCCCATTTCAGATTTTTCCAAGAAAAGGCATGAAGCTTACTTACATCTAAGAGATTAACAAAGAGAACCCCATCTAATTAAAAAGACAATAAACGCTCAGAAGCGTAACAAGAATATTTCACTAAAGATATCATTACAAATGATTCTTCTAACATAACATGTTAAGGCTTATCACCAAAGCATAAACCTACAACTATCTTCTAACATGTTAAGGATCACCAATGCAACAAAAACTTGCAAGCATGTTCTTAGTAAAATAATCATTCGGCAGAGCAAAGCTTCAAAGTTTATTTACCTGGTTTGCGACTGCCTTGGCCATCCTGCGAAACTCCTGTTTCATCACAGACTTATGGAGCAAAGCAGCAGGTTTGTTCTGCTTCTTGGTCTTAGTTGTTGCCAACAACACAGATTGATCTTTACCCACAGCCTCAATGGTCACAGTTTTCTTGTTTGCCAGCCCTGATCGAAAACCATCTCAATTTAAAAACAAACTTGCTCGGGAACCAAACAGAAAGCAAACAAAATGGGATGTAGAGAAATGTACGTGGCTTCTCCCGAACTCCTTCACCAGAAAAGAGTTGTTCTTCTTCACTATCTCCCAGATCAGTTGCCCTGGCACCGTCGCCATCTCCCAGATTTTGCTTTTGCTGCTCAGATTGGGGGTTTAGGGTTTAGGGGGAGAGGAGATTGGGGGGTTTAATATTTAACCTTTTATATATATGCTGAAACCCTAATTCATTTATTCTTTGGACCCGAGGGGTATCATTTATTTTCACATATTACGCTTATGTCCTCTGTTGTGTTGTTGACCTGGTTTGTATTGGGCTGGTTATAATTGGGTCGGATAAGTCGAGGAATCGTTGAATTATATCTTGCATCTGGTCACCAATGGGTAGAGGAATTCGAAAGGAATTCGAATTTGGAACATTATTTAACATTTGAAAGAAAATGCAATTGGGTCAAAAGCTAGTTGATTTACATGTTGACTATGTATTGACAAACTGTACATTCATAATTTAAATTCATGACTAATATTTCAAGTTAAGCTTAAATAGGTCCATATAAAAATCACGGATTAAGATTGGATAATTTGACAAATTAATGAACGTGGTCAAACAAGTGTCCTCTTCCAAGAAAGGGGACTTCCTTGCATGATTGACTTCACAAGTGATAAAAATTCGCACTAAAATTACATGGAAAGGTTCATTCTTCTTAATTTCTTAATTGACAAATCACAGTTTGACATATATGTAGATATTTTTCTTTGTTTCCTTTTAGTGAGCTATTTTTTGCATAAAACAAGGCCCGAAAGAACAGCTTCCTGTTGCTAGTTTCTTCTTCTAGTTTCCATTCTTCCAGGGTATCAAGAAGGTAATGAGATTCTGTTAGGTTCCAAGAGAGGCCACACAAAATGCAATAGGTTCCTACTAGGGTTTATGACACATGCGAGTTAGCTCTTTAGGGTTTTGATGTTAACTTGAAATTAATCTAGACAGTCCAAAATTATCTATGTTGTGGCATGTGGTAGACTGGTAGCGGTAGGTAAAGTAACGTGGTATTGTGATTATTTTCTTATCTTGCAGAACAATATCTCTCTTCTTTTTTGGGAAACGAAACTTGTGGTCTCTAATTGTTTGTAATTCGAAATTCTTGCCAATCTAAAATCTAAAATCTAGCTTCCAAAATAGATTTCACCTTTTTTCCTGTTAAATAGAGGCCGAAGAGGAGAGGAGAATCAAACTCTAATGTGGGAAGACAAACTACACTCAAACCACTCGAGCTCGAGCTATAAATCCCGAAAAATATTCAGCTGCTACCCTTCATTTGTAAGCTAAAAACTTGAACATAGTGTGCCAGCACAAACACACACACAGCAGAAACGCAACAAACAAGAAGAAGCAGCCTAAAATGATTCACAAAGGCACACAGGAAAGCTGCAACAGTACGGTTCCGAAGAATTCGACTTTGTCACATACATCACACAAACACAAAACAAGATTAAGTAGCAGAAGAAAGTGCAATGCATCAATTTTAAGCAAAAATTAAAATTTGATTGTCTTAGGAATGAACTGTTAAGCATGTCCAACAACAGAAGCAAGCTGGGAAACAAAGTTATTGTCCCTCCTGATGAACCTGAATTCATAAATTAAATAACCAAATATCAGGTCATCAAAATACCTAATGCTATTACACCTCAACTAATGTTACATTATATACAGAGAAAAAAGCAGAGCCTCCATTGACTGACTGCTCCTACAACAACGCAGTATCACGGAATTGTACAGATGGATTCAGCCTTAAAGGGCAGCAGAGTTAATGGTGCTGCAAACTTAACACGGCCAAATAAATGAGAAGCAGCAACTAGGCTGCAGAATTTAACCAAAACCCCTGAATAAAGAACTACATTCACAGGAAGAATCCATCCACTGCAACATTTATTTCCCCATGAGAAACTTGTTCAAGTGTCACTTGATTTTAAAACCCGATGTGTTGGTCGGGCCAAACCATTCACTGCTTCATTTATCCTACTAAACACTAATTTGAGGGGGATACAAGCTATCACAGGACCCTGTGGCTTCGCAGCCAGTGGCTTCGTCACTTCAGATTGCTTGTGACCAGTCAGAGAAGATAGTTTCCGAGTCTTTTTTGGCTGGAGCCCAGATTTCTTTGTTTTGGGAGATTTATTTGGTGAATTTTGTGGTTGCAATGCCAAATGCTTGCCCGGATTTCTTCCGATTTCTGCTTTTGGCTGAATTGCATAACCTATTTTACCAACTTCCCGATCACATTCCAGTTTGCTCAACATGATGTCACAACAGCCATCACCCAAAGCCTCAACTGTTAACGGGTGACCAACAATGGCTTTACCATTCAATTTACTCATAAGGGAAACCAGCGGGACATGCTGCGGCCGGTAATTTGATTTCACCTCAAGTTTGACATCATATAACGAACCATCAGAGCAAAGATTGCGGGCAGTAGAATCTGACGTCTGATATCTTGCAGGCACTGTGAAGCGGGACTGCCGATAGGGAAGTGACCTTTGAATTGGTCCATCAGCCAATTCAGTAACCTGTTTGGACTTTGCTTGTAATGTGCAATTATATGCACCGGAACCACTAATGCCTTTGCAGTTGACTTTCTGGTCAGAATCCTGAGACAATCCATCAGAATGCTCAATGCCTACCGAATAAGCATTGGATTCTTCATCCACGTCCATATACCTTCTTGAGTCATGTTTTCTATCTTTACTTGTTTGTCTAGAATTCCTCTTTCCTTTTGACTGCCACTTTGAACTACCTTTTTCTATACTTTGGCCAATATCATGCAAGGCTGCTGAACTTGTAGAACCAGATTCATTAATTCTCTCATCTCTCAAAGATAAAGCTTCAGCTTGACTGCTTTGACTAGATTGCCTTCCCAATGCACCAATTTGAGGCTTCCCAGATGAACAAACTGCAATTATAGGAGAATAACCTGGTAGATAGAGATGACAAATCAGCTAGGGAGAACCAGACCTATTTTTGTCAGGTCCACATCAGGCACAAAAGAAAGACAAGCTAATTAATTTGCTGCAATTAGCAAGGAAAGGATAAAGAAAAAGGAGAGGGTGACAGAGTTGCAGGAGCACCTAAATGTAAACAATGCAGAGAAATTTGAATACTGCAAGACATAATTAATAGCAAGAAAAAGGCTAAAGAGAATGGAGAGAGTAACGGAGTTGCAGGGTACCTAAATGTAAACAATGCAGGCACATTCAGATAATAAAAGACATAACTAATAGCAAGAAAACGCTTAGAGAGAATGGAGAGAGTGACAAGTCGCAAATGTATCTAAATGTAAAAAATGCAATAAATAGATAATACAAGACATCATAATTAAATCCATATCCTTACCCAACAACATAGGGTAACAAAGTTCCTGAAAACAAATGTATAAGTGTTTGAATTACCATTACCTGAAGGGTCTTTTTCCTCTCCAGCAAATGGCACATCAAATAACCTATCTGAAGAATCATTCTCAGCTAACCCAGATATGCTGGGAATCTCGTTCTCCTTGATTTTGCCATTAATACAGGAAGCACCAAAAGCTCGTTCAGGAGCATTTGTAGAGGCTCCATTCTCACACGAAATTCCATTGTGGTCCACAGATAAACTCCCTTTTGACTCATTTGATTCTAATCCAGAAACCCTGCCATCAGATAACCCTTGAAGAGGTGAACCACATGAATTTTGAAATTGGTCACACGTAACTGGAATAGACACCATTGCAGTACTCTCCAACACCTTTGTCAACGGTCGGCTGCGGTTTTTTCTTTTCAAGACTTCATTAGCATTTGCAACTTGAGATCTCTTCCTTTTCAGTGATGAAATACCTTTGCTTCCATTTACAGGACTTCCATTAGGCACGCCATTCCGAGTGTTCGAATCTAAGAGTGAAGCACTGTCCTGTTGAACTAGTTCAAGAAGCCCTCCAGTCTGGACTGACTTTTTTGACACTACACCCATTCCCAGGTCCTCAAGTCCTCTCATGCGCTTAACTCCTTCTGTTCCATCATCCTCTGAATCATTTGGCGTTCTTCTTCTCCTTCCCTGCACAGTTTGCAACTTAGAAGAACTGATATGATTTGGCTCTTCAAAAGATATACCAGATTGAGATAATTCTGGTGCCGAGCCTGAACTGTTTTCAGAATCACTCACATCATCAACCATAACTTCATTCTCCTCGCCGGAATGAGACACGGCAGGTGATTCTCTTGCTGAACAACCATGCTCACCACCTGAATTACTCATCCGAGCACTGAAGTCCAAATTATCCTTGCCTAGGCGAGCATTCTCAATTTCAAGAGCATGGATAATGGCATCTTCCCTGCGTGCATATTTCACTGCTTTTTTATTGGAGCTAGCTGCATGGGCCTTTGCTTTTTCAATGCATTCATCATACTCCCCACAACGAAAAGCTTTCACCCTCTTGGATCTTTCAAGGTTATACCAGTCCCTAAATCAATAAGATCAAGATCAGACTATGTTCATATATCAATATTACGCTAAACACCTATACAAAGAGTTTTAAATTTGTTTTGAAAACAAACTTTCCCATAAGCCTGAATCACAACGACTAAATACACCTTGAAAACGGTAAACCAAAACCTCTATCAATGATTAGAGACCCACAGCAAGGATCTATTACTGTTTATGTAAAACAATCCAGAGAGAACAAATATTATTTCCTTGGTAATTTTCCCTCGTGTATGAAGCCCCAGTCTAATCAACCTACAAAGCCTCAAGCTTCAGCAATGTGCCTTACAAATACCTCAAAATCTAATGCTCTTCTCTTCAAGGGAAAATCTCTATACATCACTACAGCACCACATAACGGAAATAATGTTCCAGTCCAGCAGTGCCCTATTCTCACTGTTTGAATTCCCCACATAAATTAACTCCATAAAGTGCTCATGTAACGCTATCTCAGATATAATGACATTAAAGATTGAATTGTTCCAGAGCCACAATTAAAATCAAGCCCTAGTTTTCTTATTTCAGAGCATGAAATAACATTACATCCTTTCACTCCTCTGTCCTAGTAATAATCAGATCTGAGAATTAAACCATAGATTAAGACTCTCATTCTCCACACATTAGGCCCCTAAAACTAGGGCCCAATAGAAGAAAAGATCAAGATGATAAAAAACGCCTGAAGTGAACCATAGCAAGACAGTTTATGACATTTATTGCCACAAAACCACAATCTCCAACTTAATATTTATCCTTTCAGTGAAAAAAAATTTCCTCTTGAATTCTATCCCTTTTTCCTGTAAAATTGTGTAAAGAGAGCATTTTCTTCTTCCTTTCATGCATCACAAAAAGTAATTATCCATACATCACAACTTGTTCAAACTTTCAAAGGTTATTTTCCAAAAATAATCTTACAAGAATGTATTCTCAAGCTTCAAGCCCTACCATCCTTTCCTTTTTATTGGAACCACCAACCTACCATCTAAGCAAATTTTTTTTTGCAGAGAGAATGCATCTTTTCTGACTGCGTAGTGTTATAATGCACAAGGGCCACATAGTAGGTAGCAGAGAAAACTTAACTAATATCACAAGTAACAAATTCACACTTGATGTAAGTTAATCGACATCATTAGCTTAGTATATTTCCAACCTATAAACATAGAGGAAAGAACAAACAAACAGTGAATGAAGTGAAATGATAAGCCAGTTGAGTTCAACCCTTCTTGAAACACCAAAGGAAACAACAATCCCTTAACCCAAACATTAAAAAAAGAGAAATAAGAAGCCACAGTAAACAAACAACACTAAATCCATGAACCCATAAAACCAAATCTCTACCCCAACAACACCTATGAAAATCTTAAGCACAAGGCATTTCCAAGTGTGGTAAATCCAGTTACACAAAAATGTAAATCTACTTAATCGAAAAGCTGAAAAACAAAGACTATAGTACAAATTCAAATCAGAAAATGAAGCAGACAACCGCGCAGGGCTTTAAAAAGAAAAAAGAAAGCACTCACACGCTTGCGTCGTCGCGGCCCAGAAGCTTTACCGGGGTGCCCGATCTCGGAGAAACCGCAGAACTGTCGGGCAACTCGTCCAGACCCATTATCCGACCGGGCCACCACGACCCGTTTCTGCGTCGGACCCAAACCAACCCACCCACCGACGCATCAATGCTCTTGTTACTAGTCTCACTAGAACTCCCCATCTCAACCATACCCACCAGAAAGAGATAAAGAAAAAAAAAGAGTTGAAACCCAATAAAACTCTGATCTCAAAAATGCAAAATTTCAATATCCGCCTTCCATTCTCAACCAAACACGAGTTTTGAATATCGCCCAGAGCCTCAGTTTCACGGAAAAATGCAAAAACTCTCAACCTAAATCACTATAAATTAAAAAGAAAACCCATAAAACAAATAGATAATTTTAAATCTGCATGCAACACAAACCCCAGAAACAAACAAGGAACATCCAGAAAAATTAGGATTTTTTTTTATTAAAACCCAAGAGAGAAGAAAATGAGATAGAGAAGGAGGACCTAATATGAAGGGTTTATGGAGAAAAGAACACACAGAGGGATCTAAAAATGATGTTTTACAGATATTTTATATTTTTATTTGTTTTCTGGGTGTGGTTTTCTGATCTTCCACTAGTGGATTTAGCTTTGAAATCTTTTGTTCAAGCTCGCTTGTGTGGGTCTGAGAGTGTACGGACACACAGAGAAGAAAGGGGGAAGATAGAGAAATATGAAAAAAGCTTAGTGTTTGGATCAAACCCGCAACTTTTGGTATCTTTTTTTTCCAACAGAGAGAGAGGTTCTCAGATATGAGAGAGAGAGGGGTTGCAAGTGAGGTAGAAAGAGATACAGAACAAACATAAAAGAGAGAAGACACAAATGGGTTATATACGGTTACCTGTATACGGTTTGTTAGGTTTCAATACCATGTCAGCAGAGAGGTCTTGAAAGGAGGACCCATACTAAATAATTATCGTAATTTGATATGTTATTTTGTTAGACTGTGAATTGAAGTAGTAAATTAAAAAAAATTATTTGATCAAAAGTCTAGAATTATAAGTTTCACAATATATATGTATGTCATACGATACTAACTTAGATTTGATATTAACAATTTATGCACATATAGTATTCATTTTTATTCCGTATGTATCTCAATATATTTCTATGTGATTTAAGGATTTAGCTACAATGTGATCAACTTAGGTTCTTGTTCAAAAGTTAGTATAGAGAAAGAATGTTTTTTTTTTTAACTTCTAACAACTCCATACGTTATCTTATCATGTTGTTATTTTGAACCGTATATAGTATAAGTTTAATTTTATGAATCTAAAATTATTGTGTATTCGAATAGTTTAGCAATGTATCATGTTAGATTCTTTCTACGTTGGCAATGAATGATATTAGAACATTACAAACTCTTTGGTTGCATTTGGTTTATGGGAAATAAGGTTTGAGAATGAGAAATCAATTGTTTTCCCATGTTTGATAAGTCTAGACATAGGAAATGGTTGTCTGGCACATGAAAAATAAGGGATGTAACTCTCCTCCCCCCTTGGGTTTCATTTTCCCTCCTTCCCCCTTGAGTCGGGGTGGTAGATTCATGAGAGAGAGAGAGAGAGTAGGTGGATAGGTTGGTTGGGGAGTGTGGCGAGGAAAGGTTAGGGGACTGGTTGTCAATGGGAGGATAGGGGTTGATGTGAAAACCGGGGTGCAAGGAATGATTGTATGGTTTATTTAGGTTGTTTTGTTGCTTAGGGCTTCAGTTATGTTGGGTTTGTGAGCTTTGTTTGGGATTATGCTTAAGTGTGTGGTGATGTGGCTTAGTAGTTTCAGTGCGGCTTTTTATCCGTTTTAATTTTGTTAAATGTCATGTTGATGCATTTGATTATATTGTTGAAGTTTATCTAATAAAGTTTATCTTTAATTCAAAACACAAAACTTAATATTTTGAGGGGGGTGTTGTATGCAATTGATCCTTGTAAGAATGATTTGCAATTGAGCTTAAAGGTCCATCACACTTCATTCATTCCTTGCCTCAACTCAAGTTACCCTGCTTGTCTACGTGTCTTCCTATATCATTTACATGTGCGCGTTTTGGATTTTATTTGAATTTGTCATTTTATCTAAAATCGTCTTCTAATACTTGTTTTCTTTATTCACCATTTAAATCTTTTTACCTTAATAGAATTTGATTTTGAAATGATGAAAAATTAAATAATAAGTTATCAAAATTGTAATATTGAGAAAGTTAACAATTATAATGAATTATTATTATATATATATATAGACATTATAATGAATGCTTAAGTATGTTATCCTATAAAGTTAAGTTAATTAAGGTTAATCCTCCTTGATAGAATATTTGGCTCCAGTTACTAAGCATGCATCAACAACAAAAAAAGAAAAAAAGAAGTGGTTAGCTAGTCTTTGTAGATTCATCTTTCACTATGATATGTATCCGTCTATTTATTTGATCAAAGTGATATAAATAAATAAATTTTAATTTGGTTAAATTTCCGCGAGAATTATCAATACAGATGACTTGAAAAAAATAAATGGTTCATAAAATGCGATTGCTAATTTAATTAGAGGAAAAGGTCCCTAAGTTAATCCTCATTCCTAAAAAAGAAAATAATTTTTTTCAAAAAAAAAATAAATAAATTTGGTTCTGAATTAAAAAATCTTAGTTTGTATTCAAAAATATCTTTATTTTGGTTTATTTTAGAAATAAAATTTGGATGTAGATGTAGAAGACAAAAGAGGACACACCGACCCCGTTTTGGTGGTGAGATACAACACGGACAGGTATATATTAAAATCCCTACACTTGTCCCACATGCGGGCCAAGGGCCCCACCTTTTTCATAGGATGACGTTAGGTCTTAGATGGACGGCTCTGATTATCTGATTGCTTCCAATTTTGATAAACGGCATCATATGCTTTGAAAACAAAAAGATAAAAAAAGAAAAGAAGAATTTATAAACTTAAAATAATCGATAAGAAAATAGCAAGAGCAAAACGCAGCGTCTCGAGTGACATAGGTTTTCTTGAGCTCGTGGAGTGTGGCTGATTTGGTTCGGAGACACCTCTGACGAGCGAGAAGAGCCAAAATCAGAGAAGCATATCAAGATCATGACGGGTAATTGATGTTAATTATACTCTTCTGCTAATAAAGTTTGTTTCTTTATCGATTAGACGAACTGAGGGGTCTCCGTTTAGAGATTGTTGTATGACTTTTAGCTGCGCAATCAAGACTATATCCTCTAAAAATGTCTTATTTTTATGTTGTTTTGTAGCTTTGAAGTTTAAAGTTATGAAATCTATTGATTGTTTACTTGGTTGTAGTTTGTTACTGATTTTGGTGATGTATACTGTTTTTTGAGGGAAACTACACATACCCAGAAGCTCCAATGGAATGTTTGTTTGGTGATAAAAAAAATGTGCTTTTGTTTAATTGGCTAATTGTGGAGGTTTTAGGGATATGGGTTTGGTAGAAATGTGTGAATTTTATCAAATAATTATGGAAGTTAACTCATTTTATGTTTAAAGCTATGAAATTTACTTCACTGTATGTTTTAAAACTATGTATACAGACTATATACTAGAGCAGGAGATGGAAATTGAAGCGTTGGAAGCAATACTTATGGATGATTTCAAAGGTATGTGGTGCTTCTACAGACCAGCATTTGTTATGAATTTTTGTTTTTATCTCTTTTTGTCCAGCTTATCAAACATTAGCATTTAATAGGAATTTTCTGTTTTGTTGTTTTTCTTTATACCAGAAATTCACTCGGGTGAGAGTGGGTTAAACACTTCCAAGAGGTGTTTTCAAATAAAAGTAACTCCAGTGGTAGGTATCTCTGTCTTTAGGCGTATCCGTTTCCTTTTCAATTCTAATGGCATAATAATAAATTAACCCCACGAGTAGCAAATGCAATATTTTTATAATTGTTGGACGCACACTCAAAATAATTTATCGTGGTTCATACTTTCTTGTACTTTAGTTGGGTAAAAGTAGACTAGAGTTGTTAATCAGCCACGTTTGTTGAGCTCCTTTGTCCATTTTAAAAGCAAAAGCGTAATTCCTGTTAGTGGCATTAGCTTCCTCCTTGTACAAGAATGATGTGATGTATCTATGTAAAAATGGATACAAGTTCGTTATCATTCTCATCTCTTGGAAGTGGATAGAAGTTTCTTTTTTCTTCTGGTTGACTTCTATCCACTTCCAAAAGCTCAGAATGGTAACGAAGTGTCCAGCTTTACAGCGATACATCACATTTTGGGGCATATAAGGTTTTCACTGGATCACTTTTCATAATTTTGGGGCACAAAAGAAATTCCTTGGAACTTGCATCTTTTTGCTCGTTCCTTCATCCAAGCGTATTGGGGTGTGATGTCAAATGCCAGATGAGATTTTTTAAGATTCTCCAACAGATCATGGCATTTCGCATTATTGTGCGGTAAACAACTTGCTTCTCACCCCATATCTGGTGCTCATTTTGTAGGATCGAGGTTAGTGATATTTGAGTAGTTAATGTCCTACTAGCACCCTGACACATCTTTTACTTGATTGTATTGGGAGCAGGGTTCACGTAGCTTGTCAGGGATGGGTGTAACTAGGAGCATTTATGTCATTAGAAGTAACTGGATAAATCTACGGAAATATATTTTTACAATCAATTGCTGCTTAGATCCGTTGAGGTGGTCGCTCGTGTAGAGCTTGCTTCTTCTCTAGAAATCTGCATCTTCCTGTATAAATCTCTTTATGCATGTCAAGCCGAAAATTAATACCATCTCCCAAGACATATGTCACTTGACATATAACTTTCCTCTTATGCATTTCCTCGCTTTCTTTTCAACAGGATGATGAGGCAGATGAAGTAACAACTGCTCCAGGTTATTGTTTTTGCATTATGATGTTTTGAAGAATGTCTTTTATTTAGAAATTTCAGGAGTTCCCTTCTTTTTTTCTTCTGGTTTTTGTAGTTTGGATCTTTTACTTTACATTTGGACATAAGTTATTTTGGAAACTTCTGTTTCAGTTCAGCTGGCTTTGATTTTCTCACACACAGAAAGATATCCAGATGAACCTCCGCTTTTGAATTTGAACAGGTATCACATTCCCATGCATAACACTGTGCAAATTAGTACTATGCTATTCTCCACTCAGTGCGTTCAAGCAACTGCATATTATACAGACACAAGAAGTACTAAAATAAACCTAAAAGAAACTAAAAGAAGTATGGAAAAAACTACTCTTGGGTCTTATGAGTTCAATGGTACAAATTCATTTTGATGGTATCCCTCTTCTATCAACGTTGTATTGTTCAGGTAGATTAGTTCTGTCAGCATTGTGTTGTTGAGTTAGGATGCTGGAAAGTCAGAACTGTGAATGCAGGGTTGTTTATAAAGGTATTGTTCAAGTTCCAACTAATAGTTGATCTTTTCCCTCCAGTTTACGTGGTATACAAGGAGAACATCTTAGAATTTTGAAAGAAAAGCTTCAACAAGAGGTAATTCTTAGGCACTCTTTATAGCTACACGCAGTCTTTTTTGTTTTTTCTTTCTTCTAGGTCAGTCTACTGATAATTAAATAGGCAGCATATTTTGATCTGTACGAAGGTGAGGTGTAATACAACTCAATGAATTATGTGAGTTTATCCAAATAATTCTGATTTTGATTCAAAACTTATATTCTACAGGCATCTGAAAATCTTGGTATGGCTATGATCTACACACTAGTTACATCAGCTAAAGAATGGCTTTCTGAGCAATATTGTCAAGACACTAGTATTGAGGATGCTGAAGCAGAAGAAGCAGCAAAGGATGATGTATGGATTTTCTCCTCCGTCTTGAATTCTAATAATCTTCTGGCTATTTGCTTTCTAAGTCCTTAGCATAATGGAGCTTGCCTCCAAGAGTTCCTGGAAAACTATGAAATATCCCAAAACCTTGCAAAGCTGTTGAATGCAATGTTTTTGGCAAATTGTTGAATGTACACTGCATTGGTTATTTATCATGCTCCATATCAGCTGTCTGTAGTTAAGTCTTGCTGAGGTTTTTATTTAAAATAGCTTGGAGAATTTTTTGTTTTTGGTCAACTAGCTGGGAGAAGTTATGTCATGAAATCTTTGAGGCTGTTAATATGAAACTGCTAGCTATTCTCTCTGTTCAAGAGAACAATCCTCTCCCATTCTCTGTCCTGGAGGAATGGCAGTTGTGTATCTGGAAAGATGAAGCTTCTAGAAGATAAATCATACTTTGGTAGTTGTGTATCTGGAAAGACGAAGCTTCTAGAAGATAAATCATACTTTTTAAACATGTTAATCTTGTTTCTTCTGCACCCTGCATTTTTTCCTGTGATTTCAACTGAACTTGATAATGAATATTTGTGAAAACTGCATAAGCAGCTTCAAACTTTCCCATGGGATTTATTTCTTATTAAAAAATGGTGTATGCACTATTTGCATCTCTGATAATGAGCATCTTCTTGAAAGACATGTCTTAAGAAGCTGCTTCACACTTTTCTTCTCACCTCTTTTCCCCTTTTAGGTAATTGTACCACATGGAGAACCTGTTACTGTTGAAACATTTCTGGCATGGAGAGAGATGTTTGAAGCAGAATTGGCACTTGAGCGAGCCAAGTAAGTTATTTATTTATTTATATATATAATTTCAAAATAAGGTTTTGTTTGGTAACTCTTTGAAGTTTCGCTGTTATAAAGCATGTGAAGGTGGTGATAGTTATATCATTAGCTGATTGTAGGTGATACAAATGCTTTCCTTTCTGGTATCTTTTCACCAAAAAGTTAGATGTATAGGGGAAGAAGAAGCGTGTGGCAGATTAAATTCATTTCTTAAGTTTCCTACTTGCACTTTAGGCCCTTAGGTTGTACATGATAGATATATGACATTAGAGAGGGAAAGAAGGGAACCTGGGTCTTGGTTTAGCAGGTAATGCAGTGGTACGATTGGGATCTGTGGTAGGTTCAAATCCTACTATTACAAAATATTCTTTTTGAGAAAGCAATGACAGTTCATAAGCACTTTGACTAAGACTTCCCAGTCAAAAAGGAAAAAAGAAATTCAAAGGAAAACTTTCTTGAAAGTTAATACTTTCCAAATAGTAGATCATTTATATGTCTTTGCGTGTGCCTTTATTTTTATTTCTAACTGATGGTGATTGATTTCTAGGTTAATGCCTGAGGCTGCGCTTTCAGCACCCAAGGAAAAGAGGCTCACAGGTAGACAGTGGTTTGAAAGTGGAAGACATGCTGTGGTAATTTATTTTCCCCCTGATTCTACCTTGCTCTCACATTGATCAGTTTTGCACAAAACAAAAACCAATATGTACAATAAAATGTGTACTGGTTTCATGTTGTAAACATAATACAAGTGAAAATTATTGGCTTATTACACTCTTGCGTCAAAAGAATTGCAGCATTTTCTTGTTGACACATATAATGGTCGATTTGCAAAGAATAAACAATAAAATAGGTGAATTTTTCTCTTCTCCACAGAAAGGAGCAGCCCCAGCCACTGAAGGGTCTGATGAAGAAGATGTGGAAGACATCGACTTCGACGATGATGATTTTGAAGGTGATTCTCTCTCCTCTAAGCCTATTTAGTCTAATGTTGATCATACCAGAACCATAGTCGGACTGCTTAATTTTGTAAACACGGATTAGGCTGATGAGTGTTTTTGTGTTCCAAATCTGATGAAACCCTCTTGTCTTGTGGTTAATGGCAGATGATGAAGACGATATGCTTGAACACTATTTGGCTGAGAAAACCGACTCGTCATCCCACTCTTCCAAGAGAGAGACTAACTAGAGCACTATCCGACGACGTATGCGCCCGCATTTGGCTTTGTCTTCATATGCATTTTGCGCCTGGCTTTAGGCCTCGAGGACAAAGAGGAGATGTGGTTTTACGACTGCCATTATTTTTTGTAGAGAGCTGAGAGGAGTGGATTTTGCAAAAGGGAAAATAATTGGAAAACTTGGTTTTTTAGGTGTGAATCAATATTTTTCATATTTGTAGTCTTGTAACAAGTATCGATGTTAGATACATACAATATTGTTTCCGTATATTTTTATTTAAAATTTTGATCTTGATTTTATACAAAATTCGCTTATGTTATATATTTGCAACTAGAGAACACGAGGGTTGTTACCCCATGGATTAGCATGTGTGGTATCAAGAAAGTCAATGGTACGAAAATTAACCATACCATGCCAGATAAAAAAGAAGAAAAAACATGAAATTAATACTGCCGTTCTCATTGGTCGGAAACCTAAATAATAGAAAATTTTAACATATTATTAGAATTTATTTCCAATCTCAGTCACTATCCAAAATATTCCACCAGGCAAACGAGTACTTTATGAAGAGCTCCCTGCTCTGCACATTGAGGCCCTTCCTATCCTACCACTGAGCTACTACACAATTTTCACTTGCGCTCTGCCTATTATAATTTATCCTTATCCCTTTTCCATGTCAGGGCTATTACAACATTACATATTATGTTACAACGGAATCTGCTATATCTCAAACACCACCTTGATCTTGAAATCAACATGGGAAAGCTAGTAAAGATCAACAACTTGCAACGGAGAACCGCATGCATGTCTCCAAAAATCGTTCATCGTTGATGACACTGATCAGCTTTTGAGGAACATGCAAATAATTGTACAATTTTCTTCAGTTCTATACACATCCTTGATCGGTCATGGCTTGAGCAAGAGTCAGAAAAGCAGAAATGATGGCTCCGTGTACCAAAGCCCTGTCAAGCACGTAAAATGACACATGACATTAAGAGAGTTCGATCTTATGGGAGCAATGCAATGACGAATCATTAATTAGTCCAGGTACTGACAACATAATGAACAAAGCATTGCTCATCGCTGTTTAAAAGCCAGTGTGCATTTTTTCTTTAATAATTAACACAAAAGGCACCAGGCACTATATGCACAGCAGTAAGACTAATTGGTTTCAGAAAACAGTATTCTCATGACAACACTAACAGGAAAAGAGAAGGCAAGTGTCAATTTGATAATGTACTTACTCAGGACTTTCTTTCTGGTAACCAAAATCAGCTGCGGCTTTGAGGCTTCTCTGATAAGTCTGTTTCATTGCTTCCTGAGAGTTACAGATACAAAGGAAATCAGAAATCATTTAAATAAGAAAAATTAATTTTAAAAAAAAAAACAGCTCAAGACCTTCGAATAAACTTTAAGTTAAACAATGAAAGGGTGTTCACAATTTAGCTTTTCTAGAGGATATTTCTCATGCTACTAGAAGTCATTAAGACAGACTCTTTTAGTTCCTCACAACTCCAACACATGAGAAACAGAATGCGTGGCTTTTAAAAACTGCTCCAACTACTTACGGAAAAAGGTTATACCAACATGATAGAATATAGAGAGCCTCACCTGTAATTTAGATTCAAAGTCCTCGGGGGACCAGTTCACTGAATTACACTCGTGGTTCAATTCAAATTCTCCAGCCACCACCTGCTACCAAGCAAACACAAAGAGCATAAATTTCAAGGGAAACGAAAGTAGTAGATAATCAGAAGCCATACTGATATAAATATTTGAAATTATTAACTCATGCTGTTTCGTCAAATGCCTGAACAAAAATAAATTACTTTTACTTCCCACATATTCTCCCAGTGCCATTTGCTTAAAAACTAGATGTTAGATCTTGAACCTGTTAAAATTGGAGAATTCAAACCAAAACCAACCGACAAGAAGTGGAGAAACATGATTTTATAAATTAGATGCAACCCAATGTTAAATTTTTATATTCAATACTCCCTCCACTCAGCTAAACATGTGAATCAGTTATATTGGGTGATGTTGAACATGCACGTCTATATTAGACCTAGCACGTCGATGAATTGCCCCCTCTGATAACATGTTATAGCCAAGGATAATGGGTGGATAGGTTCATGATTTCACATATTGAGATGAATGGATTAGAATACTCGATGTGAGATTCTTATATTCTTAAACCATTAATATTGAATGATGATCCCACGGGCTGCTGAACTTCCTTTTTTTTTTCCTTTTGGCCTGAAGAATTCCATATTATTTCAGAAAAGAAAAAAAAAAGCTTGGCTTGAATTTAGCCTAAATTCGGACCAAATAGAAACATGAGGAGAATAAATTTCACAATAGCAGCATTGTTCCAGCACATATTAAAAGTATATCTATCAAGCATGAATTGGAAAGATAAGAATCATACTCCACCAGCGCCAGCAGCCACTGCAGGAGCAATTAGAACATTAGCTTTTCTCAGAATATCAACAGCATCAGGTGTACAGGGCATGTTTGAACCTAGAAACAAAATAAGAACGACAATAATGGTGAAATAGGGTTAAAATAAGTGAATACAAAAACAAAAGGATAAGAAATAAAAAGCGAGGATGCATGTTGTCATGAGTAATTACTACCTTCTACTAGTATACGACAACCTGAATTAACCAGACTAATGGCGTCAGACTGATCAATTTCATTCTGTGTAGCACAAGGAAATGCAACATCACACCTTTCAGTCCAAGGTTTCGCTTCATCATAATACTTAGATCGAGCATAAGTCTTTGAATAATCTCTGCAAATGCCACATGTAGAATTAATGAAACCTGAAGGTAACTATAAGTCCATATAGCAATTTCACAAACAGATGTAAAACAGACGGCAAGAAACACATACCTCAAACTTCTATTTTGCGCTTTGATCTCTCTCAAAAATGAGATTTTCATATAATCAAATCCTTCCTCATCCACCAGATAACCCTTTGAATCTGTGGAAAAGTTTTGCAGATAAAAGGCATGTAAGCCATAAGAACTGTCAAAACCTAAAAAAATACTGCTATGCTTCTTCATATATTTTCTCTTTCTTCAGATGCAATGAGAATGATAATTCATTTCTTATTTTGATCCCAACTCAGTGACAGATGTTAATCATACCATCTTTACCATATAAGATACAAAACCAATCATGTCCAAAGAAGATACAAACAAATTGACCACTAGCAATCTATGGTTCTAACTTACGTGCTAAGATCATTGTTGAAAACAAGATTGTTCTCGTAGATCATTCATGACTCGCGTACCTAATAGACGTGATCACATAAAAAATAATAATAAAACGTTTGACCTTCTTAGGAAGTAAATCATGTCAGAGTAAACTTGGTGGAGTAGGCATAGCATGGATAAGAGAAGAATTCTGCTTATGGAAGCCCAAGGTTGATTCTCCTAATCATAGGCTATTGTCCAAGAACAGGTGTCCATGACAGTCAATTATTAGTACTTTCACTTTTCTTGAAGTTTCTTGAGTTCGGTATTCCATAATTTCTGCAATTGCTGGTTCTAAGACATTGTTTTATCTTATCATTACTTGAGTTATAATGGCCCATGGTTTTATCATATCATTACACGAGTCTAATCAAATAATGGGCCTTTCTATGTGGCTTCCTGAGAGTTTACTAGTCCAGAGTTTGTTTGAGTCTTGACCAATTCCAACAAGGAATATACCTGCCACATTAACAATCCGTTGGCAGGTTTCTGAAACTGTCCACGTCAAAACTACAGTATTATAATCATATATAAAAATTAGCTTTTGGTGTTCTCAAGATTGATCTAACATCTATGGCCACCACAGCAGAAGTAGGAGGTTTATTGAGTTATAGCCAGGATATCAGGATAAGTACTACAAAGTTCAATATTATTGTATTCCATCACTTTCAGTAACAAACTGCCAAATAGTTGAAGGGTCTTGCATGCTGCTCTGTATAAATATAAACAAAATTATAAAAAGCAGAAAAGAAACAACAAACTTCTCACAAACATCTGTAAGCAGAAATGCCACCAAATCAAGATGTTGAGAGTAAAAAATAAATAAACTGCAGTGGATTTCCTCCTTTTCAGCGCACTCTATAGTCTATGATTCTACGTTTGATGCATATTCAGCACTAGCACTTACCAAAATATTTTACCTCTTTTTTACACTAATATTAATCAATCAGGCCAACGGCATTATGATTAAACCGTGGGCACCATTCAGTGATCTAGTATGAATACATAAAAAATTTCTATGACGTGACATAAGTAGTTCCAAAAATACTTGTTTAAAAGAAAATACCAGAAACTGTAATGGGAAGAGCACCATATGCAATAAGCTTCTCCAGGACATGCAAAGCAATCTTTCCTGAGCCACTCACAACACACCTGGAGAGAAATTCATACAAGCCTCTTCAACATTACAGATTTGCAAAACAACCTTTAGACGGTCAATTACAAATTTTAAATTTTAAGCTCTCTCTCTCTCTCTCTCTCTCTCTCTCACACACACACACACACACATATGAATAGATACATATATACCCATAAGCCTCTGCATGCTTTACATCATCTTCATAAAATTGAGCATACACAATTTCTCATATTTACATGAAATATAATAGTTATCAAGTAAAACAAAAGGATTGGAGTCTTCATAAGGCTACCTAAACAGAAAGAACTCACATGCGCTGTTCTAAGTCAATATCCTAGAGTGTTAGTATGCTATGTAATTGACTATTAAAAAAGTTTAAGTAAACGTACCTTAATCCTTTGAAATCTTTATTCAGGTCTGCAAGTAGGAGCTGTGCAAAGAAAACCTGCAGAAGCATGGGAACTTTGTTAACTTCAAAGGAAATCAAGATGAAAAAGGAAACAACGAGCATGGGAGAATTGTGATATTAGTTACCAGCCCATATCCAGTCGCTTCAGTTCGAAGGCTAGAACCAGACCAAAATATCCTTGGCCCTGTAAAACTTCCCTGCATAAGTAAGGCATACATATGAAAAAATAAAGACATTACTTAATGTTCTTCCCATGAGAAACAAATAAGCAGAAACTTGACTTTTGCATGGACAGAAAAGAACACTAAATAGATAAAGACATATCACTTAATTTTCTTCCCACAATAAACAGATAAGCAGAATCTAGACATTTGTACAGATAGAAAAGAACAATAGAATTTGTCAGGATAGAAAAGAATTACGTGTACTTTCTAATTTAATTACTGTTTTCAGGATAGAAACTTTGTCAGGATAGAAACGAACAATGGACTTTACCAGACCATAAGAATCGCAAACATATGAAAACATAAAGACATTACTTAATGTTCTTCCCATGAGAATCACATCAGCAGAAACTTGACTTTTGTACGGACAGAAAAGAACACTAAATAGATAAAGACATATCACTTGATTTTCTTCCCACAAAAAACAGATAAGCAGAATCTTGACTTTTGTAGAGATAGAAAATAACAGTAGACTTTATATGGATAGAAATAAAAAAGAATTATAAACTTTATAGGGACAGAAAAGAACAACGGGCTTTCTAATTTAATTACTAGTTTCATCCTTCCCAATACAAAGCAAAAGGAGGCAAATATTCACTGTTTTGCTTCTGTACCCGACCTATTCACTATTTTCTTTTTATGACAGATATTTCAGCAATATATTTCAATACGCACCCTCATGAACTTCACCGCAAATATCATCCTCAATTAATTGGACATTCCATAAATGGGAGTCGCAAGAATAAAATTTCCATAAATGTTGGGTACATGTGGATATAAATGAGTACTCTAAACGGATCAGTGGGCAACTTGTCCTCTACTTTGTAACTTTCATCTTTTCTTTTAATACGACCATGCTTCCTGCTTTTTTTTTTCTTTTCTAAAAAGAACATGTTTCCGCTCTAACACAATTAACACATTCCTCATGAATCATGATACAAGTTACACATGCTTCTCAGGTACTAATTTATATCCACAAAAGGCAAGAAGATATATTCAGAAATAGTTTGTTACCGGTGTTTCTGGTACCTGAAAGTGACCAGCTAGACGTCTATATTGTCCGAAGAGATATCCCATCTCCCGAGTACCAACACCCATCTCCTCTGAAGGAAGGTCCTAAAGTGTATACAGCATTAAACCAGACATGCAGGATAAAGCATCGAATTTCCATATATAGAAGTAAATATTTATGGAATGAAATCTTCCTGAAGTTACCTTGTCAATACCCAAATAGCGATACATCTCATTCATAAAACTTTGGCAAAAACGCATAACCTGCCAGCTTAGAAGACAATCATTCAGAACTCCCAAGAAGGCTACTAGAGACCACATATAACAGAATGAAGATTTTACCTCATTATCACTTTTTCCCTTTGGATCAAAATCACTACCGCCCGCTGCCCCTCCGATCTTGTATGGTGACAAGGCATTCTTTAAAGTCTGTAGAGAAGGGAAATAGCACAATGTAAAGCAGTCACAAGACTTAAAGTCACTTCCAGTCTGAAATTTTTACCTAGTCACTCGTATTCATTATTAAATTTGGTGTTCTTATGAACACCTAGCATTGGATACACAAATCAACAGAGGGTAATGAAGAAAAAATTTGGCCAAATTTAACACAAACTTTGACACAAACCGACCTACAGAAGATAAGTCATTTAACAAGAACTCCAAAAACAACCAATACCTGTTCAAATCCAAGAAACTTGGTAATGCTCAAGGTCATAGAAGGATGAAACCGGAAACCACCCCTACATGGACCCAAGGCCTGGTTAAACTGTACACGAAAGCCTCGGTTAACGTTTGTCTCACCTCTATCATCCACCCATGGAACTCGGAAAACAATCATACGCTCAGGTTCTAACAAGCGCTCCATGATGCTTACATAACTGAAACAGTTTAGAGCCACTTGATCAGATTTTACATGAACCTAGAATAAGACCTTATTTTCTTTAAATACTGTGCCATTAGGTAACTCACTGAGAATTTTTTGCAAT